AAAAACTAAAGAAACAATCTAAAACGGGGAGAAAAACAAAGATAAAATAAACACGAAAAATGCAACAATAATGGGAAAAACAAAATCACTTGCTTGCGCGCTCGCGTCCTACCAGGTGCGAGGAAGTACTCGCTCGCGATCTGCCAACCCGAGCACTCGCTCAGTGTTTTGCTTATTTCTTGTGTTGCTAGCTCGATTGGATTCTCTTGAGTGCAAAAAGATTATTTAGATGTCCTCATATATTTAATCTAATAAGTTAAATAAGTTTTGTAGATGTCATTGTCTACTTAAATTATTCCAAAGTTATTATTTTTGTTTGCTAGCGAAAAATCTGGAACATGTGTTGTTGCTTTGTCAAAAAATCAAAGCAATTTGGAAAGTTGCTCTGATCAACTGGGATGGTCTGAGTGCAAAAACTGGAAGTTTCAAATCTTGGTGGAATGTTGTTTGTTGTCTCTCTCCCACTGCCATCTCAGAAGATAGAATCCAATTATCAGCCTATCTTCTTTGGTGAGTTTGTAAGACAAAAAATCTCAGGGTGTTCCAAAAGCTGAGAAGGGAAGGAAAAGATGTTGTAGATATTGTTGTGGCTGATGGGCTTTAATTTAAGTTTATCTCTCTAAGCTTTTGTTTAGTTTAGTTTGTTTCTTTTTGTCTGGTTTAGGTGTTTTGTTCACTTAGGTTGTTGTTCTTGTGGTAGGTATTTTGGTTGGTCTACTAGGTTAATGTGGGTTCAATGGTAGTCTTTTGTTGTGCTTAGCTTGTTGGGTGGAGTAAGCCCAGGGTTGTTTTAGCTGTCCCCGGGTTTGAAACTTAGCCTTAGCCGGAAACATCTCAGGCATCTCTGTTCCTGGATTGTTTAGTGTAACGCCCCACTTTTATTTGCAGAAAAACAGAATAAATTTTTTCAAATTTATTTCAAAAACACATGAGGCGCTACTCATTTTCAAATCAATATTCAATACTTATCAAATTCTCAATACTCATTCATTCATCACTCCTCATTAATCACTATTAAAATCCCAATAATCCATCATCTAAGCAATCTTATATTCAATAATATCCTAGAGAGTACACTCCCTATCAATAATCCAAAATAATCCAGAAGCAATATATATATATATATATATATATAACAGTAATCAGTTTATCGGGCGGAAGCATTAATCAATTTAAAAGATCACCACTCGCATCCCTCCTCCGTGCCCGCATAAGCTAATCTGCATCCATGAAGAGCATGTGAGGATGAGCACAAAAGGAAACAGTAGTGCTCACAGTGGTATATGCAATAAACGTTATTCACAATAAGGGAACAGTAATCAATAATCAATAAGGTATGGTCTCAGCATGTATACGAAACAATAATCTATTCTATTCTCCCCTCAATAATCATAATAATCAGACTCATGTGCACACCTACGCATAGACTACTGCTGATACTCGATTCGAACGCCTAGACCTACACCTTGGTCATACAACGATGCCCAGCCAGTAGGAGTAATCCACCCCGCCGGCCAAGACCTATGACTTGGTCTTACAATCGGGGATCACCAGCCAGAACCTATGCCCTGGTCTTACGACTCTCAAGGGAGACTACCCAAAGGGTACGCTCTATAGCTACGGGGATAACCGTTCGGTGGCGGGTACATCTCACACCGAAGGCTACATGATTCACATGCATGCCTTAATCATACGACAAATAAAGCAGTAATAACATTTAGGGCATAACAATTTTTCAAATAAAAACCCACACATTCATTTATAATAGTTACAACATAGCAATTTAAAATAAACCCACCTAGTAACCGGAACAAAAAAATAAAAAATAAAAAATAAATCTAGGGAAATAGTAGGCCGAGAACACAGCTCGTAAAAAACCTACATTATACAAAATACTCCTATAAAAGACTATTCAACACATGAACCAATATAACTACTCTCATGCAATATATCTCAGTCACGTAGATAATTCAACAACGAACACAAAACATAGTCGAAATCCGGAAACAAAAATGAACAACTCGCATAGTCTCAGTATTTCCAAGATAACAGGAGCTACAAGCATGCTATTCAGGTGATTCTAAAACCAATGAGTAGCTAACACATATATCTACAACTTTTATGTTGATTACTTAAGCCAATAATAACTTTAAAACTGAGTTTAAGTATAAGACACTTAGGTCAAGAAATCTGCCAACACAACTATTTATCAATTTACAGCACTTCACTAAAATAACAATAACTCAAGTTATAAAACTCCATATTATGCAAACTCAAAACCTACAAAAACTACACAAGAAAAGCTGCAATTTTCGAGAAGAGCGTTTTTAAAAATTATCACGTTAACGACTCCTTTCAGAGCATACATTCTGAGCATAATCACAGCCACTGTTTCTAAAAATTTTGGGCATAACCCCAACTTTGAAAAATCACATAAAATCAACCAAAACTCCAAATTGCATGATTTCAACTCCTAATGAAAGCTTATAATATATACTACAAGTTTATGATGATAATATTATCACATAGCCACATTAGGATTAACAAAATCAGCCCAACATCTTAATCTACAATTCTGCCCGGAATTACAAAAACTGCATGCATGTACAACTTAAAAAATTCAAAATAAATTCAAATCAACTCCAAATTTTGAAATTCCAAATTTCACTGAACCCTAACTCAAAATACTACAATTCACATGAAGAAATCTTTTCAGTTTGAGCACATTAAGACACAACAACCGGGTTAAACATCTAACATAATATGCTGCCGGATTTTCTATAAAAAAAACTGTACGAGCGACATTTTTGTGAAAATCATAACTTATTCGTTTTAAATCGAAATCACATGATTCCAAAGCTCACTTAAAGAAAACAAAATAAGCTACATATTATGTGAAGACCTGATCTTCATAAAAAAGAGTATTTCATGGTCATTTCAACAGTACATCAGAACAGCAGAAAACTCCCATAATTCACGAATTTCATTTATATAATCCTACATCCGAAATGACTTAATGGAAACGCATCGAAGCATCAAATAACTATAATACGATGCATATAACAAAAAAAAGAGTTCCTACCAGCATATTCGATCAACCACTTCAACTCAATGTCAAACGAAATCACATAATAACACATGCATATATACATTAAACGAAAGGTTCAAGCCATCCATTATCGTTCTCAGGATCCATACTCGAAAACACGACGGAAGATGGGTTGTTCGGGGCTGAACAACGGTGGAGAATCACTGCGATGGATCTCCGAGATCGAACGGCAACGGGTGCAAGTCGTCGGTGGTGAGGGCAGCAACGGGAAACACACAAACGGCGGCACGATTCATGGTCGGGGGCTGCAACACGAGCAGCGGCTCGTCTGGGGATGAAGACACGTGACAGCAACAACCCACGGGGTTCTCGCGATGCAAGGGCTGAGTATGCCGGGAGGGACTCGCCAGTGATTGATCGCGGTGGTGTTCGGCTTTTGGGGAGCCTGATCGCTAAACGCAGGGTGTAAAACCCCGCTATTTCATGAATTTCAGAGTGCGCTTTTCGCAAATTTTCTAAATAAGATAAATAAAATATTTCTTTTTGTGAAATCTGATTCGGGGTGCTACCGTAAAATCTGACTTGTT